GGAGTTGGAATACTGAAGGGAAAGCACTGTGTTTGGGACGATGTCAGTGAAGTTGGGCTTTTTTCCATGTGTGTGCTGTGGCAGAAGTGACTAACGGTGCTTTAATGCTTGTGAAGGGAGGGAGAGTCAAGTGAGTCAGGGCACAGCAAGGATCCCTGTTAGGAAGAGGTATGTCCTGGTTTGGTGGGTCAGAAGAGAAGCAAGTACTGATGCTTGGAAAAAATTAGGAGTAAGGAAATTACCCTAGAGATGGGATGAGATATCTCTTCCTCCTAACAGACAGGGTGAAGGAAAACATACAAAGTAAAATACTTTTTCTATGCTACCCTAGCTTCCCCATGAGTAAACAGAAAGGTGCAACTATGTGAAGGCCTTCAGGCCTGCCTGGAATGTGAGAAACCACTCCAGAAAGGAAAAAGGCTTAAGCAGCTCTGTTTCCAAACACAAGCAGATTTCTTCACTAAACACAGGTGCTGCTAATCCTTTGCACTGAATTTGCTTAATGTCACATTTGGCCACACATAGCTACACTATGAATTGTACATCCATGGGAATTGCTGGTGGATAGCAAACGGATACAGGATCAGAGTACGCCTGGTCTAGACTCTTGCCTGGACTGTGATGGAAGAGAAGTGGTAATGGCAGTAAGTCCTATGTTAAGCTCCAACATAAAAAAATACCACCTGTAATGCTGTTAAATGGATAATACTGTGTGGAGGTTGTATGAGCTGATAGAGTGTGTGTGGCAGAGTGGCAGAGCACAAGTTCCTGCTGGGTTTTGGCTTGTGTAGCTGGGGAAATGCTGGTGGGCTCTGCCCTGTATTGCTCTCAGGCTGCGGTCAGCAGTGCCTCTTGTCTGCGGCTGTGAGGAAAGCAAGGGAAGACCAAGCCAAACCGCTAAAAGACATACGGCTATTTTTATGTTGTAAGCTAGCCAAGGACAGTGGGAAAAACAATCGAGTGCATGCGGAATATGGGGATTTGCACCAGGAAACAGCGTATCTGCTGTTACAAGCTTCATAAAATAAATGTTTGATTAAGGGTCAAGGGCTTGCCAAATCCAGCCTTCCTCAGGACTTTGTAAATCTATGAGGCAGTTACACCAGAAGAAAGATTTTCAGACTGACCTTAGAAAAATCAGAACTAACCCCTGCCTCAAGAACAGAGTCTCAAGCTAGCTGTAGGGTCAGCAACATTGGAAGAGCTTGCACCAAGGCAGGGAGAGCCTGGTTTTCCACATGGTCAGGATGTACTGCTGGGAAATAGCTTCCTCCTTTACAGTGGAGCTGGGAAAGTCTTCTGTGGTACAGCACGTTGCCATTTGGCAGGAATCCTAGCACACCAGCACCATAAGGGAGCAAAGAGGAAAAAATGGCAGCAGGTCTGTGAAAGGTGGAAGTAGTGTGGGATGTGGGAAGAAGCTGGCAATAATGGAAAGCTGTGAGCCTAACATGGTAGGATTTATTCCCACCCCAAACCTCTCAGAGACCTGAAAAATTTAAATCCATCATACTGCATTCTGACTGTGTTTCAGTAATTAATAGGCTTGCTTGTAAATGGTGTGGAGGAGATGTATTTGCAGAAGGGGAGGGTGCACTTACCTGCAGGGTGATTTGAAAAGAGCTCCTAAAGGAATTGCTCCAGTAGGCGGAAAAGCCTGGATTTCTTTTGACAGACTATCATAGTCAGGACTATACTTCACTCCCGCCACCCTCCAGGAGAAAAGAATATGAAGTGTTGGCAGTTTTTTAGGAACTGCCTGTACATCTCTTCTTTTTCAGGTGAACTTGAGTCCAAGCAGGCTTTGCAGGAGATGGGCTCAGAGCAATTGCTCAGAGGGAGGGCAGGGGGGAAAGTGGAGGGACTAAACTCCCAGTGATAAATGAATCCGTAGGTTCCATGGGGGATGTGCTGTGAAGTTTGAGCTCAGCCCTGCCATGTTTTCTCACAAGCTCTGAATGTAGGTGCCTGCAAGCCTTGAGACAGCTGCTCAGCAAGCCGCAGGCATCGATACAAGCCATGCGGGGGCTCTTCCTAAAGACTACAGCACCTTTCTTATCCTCTAGTTTTCACTGTGGTAGCATGGAGGTGGGTGAGGGTCTGCGGGTCCAGGCAGGACACAAGTGTGCTGCGTGAGCAACGTGGAGAGCCAGGAGCTTTGCAGGGGAGCAGAAAAGTCCCTGCAGCAGCTGCTGCTCGAAAGGTGTGTGGGGTTGAGGAGGGACAGCCCCCGGGGATGCTGTCCCTGGCTGCAGGTTGCTGTGCCAACCACGGAGCGCATGCACTAACTTAGCACTGCCCAGGCTGGGTTTTGTTGGGTTTCTATGTTTAGAGGGCGGTTTGTGCCTATGGCCACTGTGTAATTACAATGATTACAAAACAGCCACCTCTTTGGTTTCTGCCTGTTGGCAGCGCTGAGGAAACGACCTGACTTGAACTGCTCGCAGCAAGGACCTTGAACCCTATCAAAAGTCACTTTTAAATGAACCTAGGACATCTAGACAGTTGCCAGACTTTGCTGGCAGTGATAAAAATAGGTTGGTGAGATTTTTCCACTGCTGGACACAGGCTTCCACATGCGTGGCTCCTACAAAATGAATTCACAAGGCAGCCATTCATGGCATGTTGAATGCTTCTCTTCTCTAGCTGCCTACTCCACAT